GGGATGGAGCTGAGAATCTAAGAAATAAATAACATTGCAAATGAAATTATTGTTTCATTATCTTCTTAGAAAGAAAGAGTGCATTACTTGCTAAACACTTTATGAAGATGTGCGGCCTTTTAGAGAAACTTACTTGTACTCGTATGCCCGCAGGAGGTTGATTGTTATGATGATTTAGATTATCTCCTCCAGAAAGAGGGCTTCAAAGGGGTTTATCAGGTGCATTATAATTATGGCTGAAATTCTTTAGGGATGGTTTGTATGTTGAACTTTTTTATCACATATTGAATCGAATGTGTCTTTTCTTTTCCCTTTACTAGGCTCGTACAGGTGATGCATGTGATGGTTGTGCGATATTTTGGAACAGAGAACTGTATGGCCTTGATTTTTTCTTAATTTCTTTTTGATTTTGCTGTTGCTTAGTAAGCTGTGGATTCTTCTTATGGGATATGAAGATCTACTGCTAAAAGCTTTGTTTTTCGCTTATCAGTATTGGTTATTTTCTATGGAAATTGAAAACCTACTGCTTTGAGCTTTTCCTATTAGCTTATCCAATTTAATTCTACTCGCTCATATTACAAATATATATCTGGTTACAGATTTGACCTTCTGCACGAGGAGAGCATAGAATTCCAGGAGTTTGATCTACGCAATAATGTTTGCCAACTTTGTGTTTTCAAGGTAAACCTGCTATGCATTATATTTTAAATTAAAAAAGTCTATTTGGTTGTTTATGCTCTAAGTGTATTAGTATAACATTATCTCTTACTTCTAAATACTTCTTATGATCCTAATAATTACTTCTTATGATCCTAATAATTACTAAGTACTAACCTACTATAAGAAGGTTGCTTTAGATTGTTAGTAAATCAGTTGATCAAACAAAGCAGTGTGCTGATATTTCAGAAATACATGCTGTTTCATGGATTTACCATCTCGTTGACACAACTTCGTGTTCAGCTTCCATGATATCAGACACACTAATTATTAAAAAAGAGGCTTCTGAATATCAGAGGTAAGTCTAGTGTCTCGCTCCCTTAGTCAACCCTCCCCCAAAATGCCCCATCCTTGCGAAAAAATAGCAGCGTGGCGTTATGACATGCATGCACTCTACCCAAGCTGCATATGTTATGAATAAAGGGATAGATGGGTTCGTCATTTGTTGTCTGTGCTTGAGATGGACGTTACAGGATACTTCTTTGATTGCCATGCAAGTCTTCCTTCTGTTTCCCCTGCACATTACAAGATGGTCGCAAAGAGTTAATTTTACTCTAATATTCAGCTGGAGCCTACTTTGATCTGTAGTTATTTGTATCAACTTTTCAGATGAACGTGAAGAACTCAAGTAAGGATATGGGTGCTTCAAATTCGGAGTAAGTTTGCTCTATTTTATCATCATTCTCAACATGTTGAACTTTTAAAAATTGCCAATTTTTGCATTATTTTGTGTAAGTTTTACCTCTTAATTCTTTTTAATCTGTTTGGTTATGGTTGTCCAAATTTTTGTGTAGGAGTATATCATCACGAAGCTTTGTGGTTGGCAATATTCATGTACTCTTCAACCCCAACCGTGGAGACATTAAGTTGGGGCAGGTATATATTTTCAGCAACAACTAACATTCAATTGTTTCATGGTAATAGCATTGTCACTAAAGACTTGATGGACCATCGCTTATCTGTAGTTTTTTTTTCCTTTTATCTGCCGGCACCAATTTTCCATATCCCCCCTCCCCCCCTCCAAAAAAAAAAAAAAAAACCATCACATATCAATTGATTTGCTTGTGCGCCATGCCTGCATGGTATTTCTTCCAGAATGTTGTCTCTCTTCTAATGCTTGGGAAGTTAATAGCAAATTTCCATTTTGAGAAGTATGACATTATTGATCTCCTCTGCTGGAGTGTGGTCTAGCTTCAATTCATTCCTAGAAAGCTTCACATCCTTTATAGCAGTTTTACGTGATGCCTATTTACATGTGCCTTCTTAATAAAGGGTAGTGGTGTTACTGAGTTTGGTTCCAGGACCAACAATTTGCTCTAGACCTGCCTGGCGATATCTGCATCCCTTCTCTGCCCCTCGTACTTATGCAATACATTTTGCATAAACCTATGTTCAAAAGAAGTCCAGGTTTTGTACACGTTTCATGTCCTATAACATCTCTTGTAGCATTCTTAATTAAGGCTTGCGTAGGACTAGCCTCGTTTATTTTGCTTCTTCTGGACTTTTTCACTTTCCAGGTGAAAATTAAAATTTTCTGAACTAAATCTTATACGGTTCGAAGGGTGATTTTGTAGTGATAAAGTTCCAGAGAACTAGGAATAACCAGTCAACTTGAAATGCGTCAAAGTCTTACCTAGACTTGTTGGAAATAGACAATGTTCCTGTTGGTCAATCTTGAACTATGGAAAAAAAATTCAGTCAAAAACTTCTTATTTATCAGGGAATTTTTTAAATAACGTTGGTTAATGTTATAGGTTAGACTGTTTCTTGATCACTGCAACATAACATTTAATGTTATAGGTTAGACTGTTTCTTGAGAGTGCCCAAAGGCTATCACTAGAATGGGGTGATATACCAGTTGTGCTTGCTGGAGATCTTAATAGTATGCCCCAGGTAATTTAATTTACTTACTCTGAAACATTAGAAATGTTATATTGAATCTTGCAGGTCTAATTTTCTGTTTATTGTTGCTCAGAGTGCAATGTATCAGTTTTTGACTTCAAGTAAGGTGAGTCCTAGCTACACAACTTTGTGAGTTTTATGTTCTGCACATTGGTTTACCTTCTTCAAATTTGAATATTTTACTTTCTCTAAATCACTTTGCATTTGGAACAGTTGGACATCCAAATGCATGAACGGAAGCAAATTTCTGGCCAAATATATCCATTGCAAAATAGAAGCTTCAAGTCAAGGTTCTTTATGTGTTCTCTCTAATTTATGCACACCTAATAGATGCCTTACCAATTTCAAATGACCAATGGTTCTTAACTTTAACAATAAGTGGCTAATGTATCTTTCACTTGTTGAGTATTACTTGCTCATAAATGAAATGCTATAAGCGTTGAACAGCTTTATTTATAGATGGAGTGATGAGGAGCTAAGGCTTGCTACCGGGACAGGAGCTAGTCACCTGATACATCAATTACAGCTGCGCAGTGCCTATGCTGGAGTTCCTGTATGTTGTCTTCTTGCAAAATTTTCCCTGCTTATACTTTTTATTTATTTATTGAATCTCTGCCATTATTTAATTGATTGTGACATATATTTTCATTTGTTAAAATCTTTTTAAAAAGAAAAGAAAATGGGTATTGCCTAAACCTTGGATTCCATTAGCCTCTTCTGTTAAATTCTTTAATCAATTACTGTTAAAATTTAGAGCAGAAAGGTGTATTTCCCCTCGAGATTGAAAGTAAATAAAGGGTGGGAAAAAAAAAAGAGAATTGTTACAAGGTCAAAAGGTGGGGGAAACGGCAAACCATAACTGGAAAAAAGAAGAGCATGAAAAAGAAAAGCTGGGCAAAAGAGTTTCAGGCTATGATTTATGGTGGGGACAGACTCCTTTATCTTATTATTCTTCATGTTCTCTTTTTTTCATTCTTATTCTTCTCCTTTTGTTTTCTGTCCCCTCTTTTTCTTTCACTGTACACATGCTTGGGGGGAGGNGCTTTTGCCCTTCATCTTAGCAGTTTTCTGTAGAAATACAAATACATGCTCTAAATGAGCCCAAGTTGGAACGCCAAGTTAAATCTTTTTCTCTCCCAAAAGTTTTGTTATCTGCTTATTGTTTTGCCTTTAGCAAACAGGTTTCAGTTTTTAGAGCTTTAGTCCCATATTTCTTATAGGTGATGTCTTCGTATTTTTAATATTTAGGGAAGCTCTGGAACCAGGGACAACTCTGGAGAACCCTTGGTGACATCATATCACTCCAAGTTTATGGGGACTGTTGACTATATATGGTACTCTTTACTTTAGAGAAGCAGTGGATAAACTTACCTGAAATTGAGAATTTCTTTCATATGTCAATGGTATTTTTTTTCTTTTAAAACATTGTGAGGTTCTACAGGCACACAACAGATTTTGTTCCAGTAAGAGTTCTTGATACCTTACCTATTGATGTTTTAAGCAGAACAAGAGGGCTTCCTAGTAAGGTATATTAAGCTATGACTACTATGGAAAACATTTAAGTGCTTTGTTTCTGTAGAGGATATGATATGTTGGAAGGTGCATTCTGAGAAGTTACAACAATGCTAAAACTTTCCCGTATCCTATGGCTGAACTTGGAAGATGGGGATGAGATCGCCATTTGCCCCTCTTTTTTTATTTTTTTATTATAGAGATCACCGTTTTTCCTAAAATCACCTTGACGAACCGTATATGTCGGCCATGCACAAGCTGCAGCAATTATATGGATGGCATTCTGCTAGTTTGCATTTACTCGTGGTTCATCAGTGTAACCAATTTACTAATTTGAGTGACTAACCAACACTGGTAAAATTTTAGTGAGTTCCTTTTACTGGAGAATAATCACTTAGTTTATAGCAGTGTCTGCAGAAGAAATGAATTAATAAGTTCATTATAGCTGATAATATAACCTGTACATCGGCAGGGACCTCTTACATGTTTGTGCACTACAAAATTAGTGCTACAAAATGTTCGGGGAAGAAAATGACTGGTCAGGGTATATTATCTCCCACGACTGATTTTGTTAAATACTAGTAACGCTATAAGGCCATATCCTAATTCCTAAGTATTCTTCCTTTTCCCATGAAACTTGCTGGCAAGTTTCAGTTCACTCTTCTATAATATCATACTTTCTTGGAAGTTAGGGTTATGATTTCGCTGATATCCTATTTTAAGGATATGAGATCATGTTAAAAAAAAGATATGGGATCATGTAGACACTCCAGAAGTACTGATTTTTGCTAAGATTAAATTTTCCATTTTTTTTTTTTTTTTTATCACTAAGCATCATGGTATATTCAAGTTTATTTTTCCTGCAGAAATGGGGAAGTGATCATCTTGCTCTAGTTTGCGAGCTGGCTTTTACTGATGGAGGCAGTGAGACTTGACCAGTCCTTCCCATCCAACTTCTTCCTAGAAGCATGAAATACCATGCGGCAGGCCGCAGGGTGACCTTGATGAAGTTATGCTGCAGTGGTGCTTGCACTTTGAAATGCAGCTCCGTGTATCCACTCAGCATCCAGACACTGCAACGATAAGCTTTTCAGTTCAGGTGCATGTAAGATCCTAGTGCAAACAAAGGAACTGAGGACAAGGAGGAACATAGTAAGTTGGACGCAAAGGATTTGCGAGGAGTGGAGACCTCTTATCCTAGTTCACAATCTTGTGATTCATCTAATCGTGGTTCTGAACGAATTTTGTTTCATATGGCAAGGTTTATGAACGAGGGAATCAGCTTTCTTAGTAATAGATATGAAATAAAATCATGACATGTGGTTCAAACAACTTTTTGTATGTTGTCTCTGTTCTGATGATCACAGGAAATATAAATGATTTTTCTCTTAGGGGTCGTTTGGTATGAGGTATATGAAGGTATATGGGTGGTATAAAAATTTAATACCACCTTAATACTCTGTTTGGTTAGCAAACCAGGTTTAAGTTATCCCGGTGTTAATTTTAATACCGGGATAACTTTTAACTTATAGAGGGTGGGGTAATTAACACCGGTATAAATTACACCGGGATAACTTATAACTTATAGAGGGTGGGGTAATTAACACCGGTATAATTTATACCTTCTTCTTAGAAATTATGCAATTGTCATTTTTAATACAACATACCAAACAGTGAATAAACAACAATTCCATCATAGCTTATCTCAACATAACTTATACCGGCATAAGCCATATTCCAACCAAACGACCCCTTAAGGTTCTGTTCTAAATACACGGCTGGATGTCCTTATGTGACAGGGGTTGCAAGAGCATCAATCATTGATCCTACGGTTAGTAAGAAAATTGCTGCAATATGCATCAGGCTCATTAACAAAAAATTCCCTCAAATAACTGTGTCGGCACGGCACGGGCCACAAAATGTTGATTTGTTGACAAAAATATCCGGAGTGTGGATGGCTGGTGGGCGAAGTTGTGGATAGTATGCGAATACCACTCAAAATGTCGTCAAAGGACAGTGTCAGGTGAAACAAACCACAACTTCGTATTTGATGCCAGACCATGAGAAAAGTGTTGGTGATCAATTCCCTAAGATAACGAGCAACCAGAACAGTGTGGGAAATAACGGATGCTGGTGGTCAAATCATTTGAGACTCGAGTATTCATATTAGTGCTAATATTTGTGTTTTCTATGTGATTATTATAGTGATATGGACAGCGCAGTTTCACTCGAAGCAAACGGGTTTTGTTTCCGACAAAGAATGGATTATTCATTGTAACGAGATGCAACCTTAAAAAGAGAGATGAACGTTTATGTTGCGTTTAAATATCGAGTCAACTGCCAGTTTAAAAGAGCTGGAACATTTGAAACGTGTAAGCAAACCGAAATGCAAAAAGCTGCGAATTTTGAATCTTGGATTCTATAAAAGCGGAGCTTTAACATTTGAACCGAGTCAGTTACGCATCTCAGTAAACAGAATTAGAAAGTCAAAACTCAAAAGCTTGAAAGAACTTTAAAATAGAAGTTCGAAAATTTTCGGGACGACGACATTTCATTACATGTTGAACTAGTTTGTCACTTATCAATAATTACTAATTCTCTTTAATTCATCGGTTTATCTACGCAAGAAAGGGACGTTTCAATTCGTCAATTGGACTGAAATGGCAAATCAACCAAGTTAAAATTTTAAAAACTGATTTCCTAAATTTGACATTCGAATTTTTTAGGTGCTTTCAACACTCAAAAGTTGGAGAGTAAGACCATTCTTCGAATGCATAAGGAGCATGTTGTTGGGAATAAACTCCCACAGAAATAATATTCACGGTAATAAAAACGAAATAATAATGTAGCACCGAGATACGGTAATTAACAAGAATAAAGGAGTAACAACGACACCAAGATTTTTACGTGGAAAACCCTTTTAATAAGGGAAAAAACCACGGCCCCGATAGGAGCAACTGATATCACTATAGTAAGGAATTTTACACTTTGTAGGTCCGAGTAAAATACTCCAAAGGCCACTACAACACTCAAAAGAAATAACCCTCTTTTGATATTCCCACCTCACTACAATATCGCTCACTCTCTATTTTTCTTACAGACTATTTTCTTATACCCTGTCTGTGAAACCTCACTCTTTCTTTCTCTCTTTGTTGGTGTGAAGAAATGAGAGTTGAAGCTCTCCTTTTATAGCCAAAGCTTCACTCTCTAAAGCCTACAATATTTGACAATTTACACACACTTTTCACAATTCAACAAAGTTGGCTACCAAACCAAAGAAATTCAACAAGGTTGGCTACCAAACCAAACTAATTCAACAAGGTTGGCTACCAAACCAAAGAAACTTTTATTAGGCACATGCCTAATACTTCTTCAATGAGATGGACATCATCAATCTCCCCCTCCAGTCTCATTCATCTAGAGGAGGTAACATTGTCTTCTAGTTGAGAGCATGCCGACAAGTTCTTTGCATAGCTCGAACTTGTTCCTTGGTACCACCTTGGTAGCATATCTGTGGGATTCTCACTTGTAGAAATCTTCAAAACTTTTAGAGATTCATCATCTACCATTTCTTGAATCCAATGATATCTCACATCAATGTGTTTGGTCCTTGCATGATACATAGAGTTCTTGCTAAGATCTATTGCACTTTGACAGTCACAATAGACGAGATACTTCTTCTGATGCAATCCAAACTCTTGAAGGAACCGTTTGAGCCATACCATCTCCTTGCCAGTTTCTGTAGCGACAATGTACTCTGCTTCAGTTGTTGAAAGTGCAACACACTTCTGCAACTTAGACTGCCATGATATAGCTCCCCCTGAAAATGTAAACAAATATCCAGTAGTGGATTTTCTGTTGTCAATGTCACCTGTCATATCAACATCTGTATAGCCCTTCAAGATTGGATCAGATCCTCTAAAGCACAAACAATCTTCCGTGGTACCTCTCAGGNGGGTACCTGAGTATCCACTTGACTGCTTCCCAATGTTCCTTTCCAGGAGTTTTAAGAAACCTGCTGACAACACAAACCGTGTGAGCAATATTAGGTCTAGTACATACCATTGCATACATCAAGCTTCCGACCGCTGAAGAATAAGGAACTCTAGCCATGTTCCCTTTCTCTTCCACTATTGTAGGACACATCTTTTTGCTCAACTTTAGATGACTAGCAAGAGGTGTGCTGACTGGCTTAGCATTTTTCATGTTGAAGCGTTCTAGTACACGTTCAATGTACCTATCCTGAGATAGTCACAACTTTCTACTTGTTCTCTCTCGAACTATCTTCATCCCTAGAATATGTTGTGTTGGGTCCAAGTCCTTCATATCAAATGACTTGGACAGATCTCCCTTCACCTTTGCTATCAGCCCCTTGTCTTTTCCTACAATTAACATGTCATCCACATACAACAACAATATAATAAAGTTATTCTCAGAAAATCTTTTGAAGTATACACATGGATCAGAATAGGTCTTTAGGTATGTTTGACTTTTCATGAATGAATCAAACTTCATGTACCACTGCCTTGGTGCCTGCTTCAATCCATAAAGACTCTTATTCAATTTGCACACCATGTGTTTCTTTCCAGCTACTTCAAATCCTTCTGGTTGCTCCATATAAATCTCCTCTTCCAAATCTCCATGAAGAAATGCAGTTTTCACATCCAACTGCTCCACTTCAAGATCTAGGCTAGCTGCTAAGCTCAAAATTGTTCGAATAGAAGTCATTTTGGCAACATATGAGAAAATTTCGTCAAAATAAATACCTTTCTTCTGTTCGAAGCCTTTAATCACCAATCGAGGTTTGTATCTGACCAGCTTGCCATTTCCATCTTTCTTGAGTTTAAAGACCCATTTGCATTTGAGTGGTCCTTTACCCTTTGGAAGTTCAACCAGCTTGTAAGTGCCATTTTTCTGTAGAGATTCCATCTCTTCTTGCATAGCTTTCATCCACTGGTTCTTTTCTGGATGGGACAACACCTCCTTAAAACTTTTTGGCTCCCCCTCATCACTGATGAGGACATACTCTGTGAAAGGATACCTGCATGACTCTACCCTTGGCCTCTCTGATCTCCTCAGAGGTTGAGGTTGTTCTTCTCCCTGAGTAGGGTGCTTCACTTCCTCGACACCTTCATCAAGATGCTCCCCTGCTCGATAACCTCACCAGGTTGCTCCCCCTGTTCGGCAACCTCGTCGGTCGTACTTTCTGCACTTGTGGGATTGTTAGAAGTAGAATGAATAGTAAAAGGTTAGGAATTATACCATTTGTAAGCACGTGATTTTTGCCCTATATGAGAAATACTCCCATAAAATGCAAAATAAAATAATTTTCCTTGGTGTGCAATTTTGAGTATTTTTGTGATATTTTTGG